CAATCAACCCTGAAGTGGGCGCCAATCAACCCTGAAGTGGGCGCCAATCAACCCTGAAGTGGGCGGCAATTAACCCTGAAGTGGGCGCCAATCAACCCTGAAGTGGACGCCAATCAACCCTGCAGTAGGCGACAATCAACCCTGAAGTGGGCGCCAATAACCCTGAAGTGGGCGCCAATTAACCCTGAAGTGGGCGACAATATCCCTGCAGGGGGCGCCATTCACCTGAACCACTGGACGACGGGGGTCGGCTTGCCCGTGACGACCACCGTCAGCTGGACGGGTTTTCCGGCGCCCACGCAGCAGGTGGACGGCTTCTCCCTCAGGAAGGGCGCCACGCCGTCCTCGGTGGGCGCCGTGGATCCGAGGACGGCAGCAGAAAGTGGGCGACTACGCACCTAATTCAATAATTATTTTAAATTATTTATTGGCACATCCAAAATTAAAATAAAGTCTACGCAGGAGCAAGATTGTTCTCTTTCCAACAAAATATATCATTTAAACTTCATCCATACTGTCATACATACATGATCCTACTAATACAATCATAGGTTAGTTGACATACTTGAATAATGCCAGTTATGTCGTCGTTTTTCATAGTATTTATAATATAACCGGGCACATATTGTCGAGACAATGTGATATGTGTGGCAGCTGCCAGGTACTGGCTTGTAAAGTACCCATATTATCATACGTCTGACTATGTTGATTTCAACTACCAATTGGAAAGCTTCCATAGTACCCATGTTGTCATACGGCATTTTATGTTGATGGAAACTACCACTTGTAAAGCTTCTATAGTACCCATGTTGTCATACGTTAGTCTATGTTGATGGAAACTACCAATTGTAAAGCTTCTATAGTACCCATGTNTAAGAGAATAGCTTCTTTAGTACCCACGTTGTCTTACGTCAGGCCATGTCAAAGGGAACCGATAAGAGAATAGCTTCTTTAGTACCCACGTTGTCATACGTCAGGCCATGTCAAAGGGAACCACCAGGAGCAAAGCTTGTTTAGTACCCACGTTGTCATACCTCGTTGGCAACGCGGCGCGGTAGGTCGAGGCTGCAGGTGGCAGCGCCCTGACGTACGAAGCCAGCAGTGTAGCGGTCTACAATGGTTTTGCGTCGCTCGTCGTCAATTTCCTCGTCCATGATGTCGGTGAAGCGACGACGCTCGTGCACCACTGGGACCTTCTGCTTGAACAATTTTAAAAACCCTAATTAATAAACATGACGCTTTCAAACTGAAAGAAAACTACAAGTTGTTAGGATTAACTCTGGGATTCGAAAAAAACGCACCAAGGAAGATCAAGCTAAAAATCGAAAAGACAAATAAGTTCGGTAAATTGGCATAATAATACGTGGAATACAGAGATAAAAATCAAAACCATGAAAAAGTAATACAAAAATCAAAACAGGAAGAAAAGGTTTAAGATGGAAGATTATTTTAGGAATCTAAGTGAGAATTGGAGTCTTAAGAGTTTTCGAGCGTTTCAAAAATCTGGATTTAAAATTTTATACTTCCAGTCTCAAACAGTGTACGATGTTCGGGAACTGCCAAATGTTCACGCTGTGCATCTACTGTCAAATAAAGCTAAAGTTAACATTAAGACAACAATTGTTATAAGTCATTTAATAGCAGGATAAATCTTAAAAATTGCCTAACGCATAACATAAATGCTGCTCGCTCAAGTTGTCGTACCTAGATCGACGTGAACCACGAATTACCTATATTGTCATACGCAGAGTGATCTGAGCAGCATGACTGAGCAGCTAATGTGTTCAACAGGAATTTTCCGCGTTGTAATTTCTATTCAAAATGAAGAAAATATAAATATGGCATAATGGGTTCAGCGCGACGATGGAGAAAGGTTAATTTTCATGTCATTAAACGCTCACACGTTGATCTAATGGGTTTGAAGCGAGACAGAGAAGGGTTCACTCTCATGAAAAGATGGTTCACTGCCATGCCGAGGAAAACTGCTTATAGATACGTGGAGAGACAAAAATTCAGAATCGTAAGGCAGCAAAGTGAAATTTCCCTGAAAATTTAGCAATACACAAAAGTCACTGCCATCCAAAATACGAACGCTGCCGCGGCATCTCCAAACAGACGTACGATATGTTGCAGTTAGCACCTGGATAGCGACACGGCGTACGATGCCTGAGGTAGGATTAGGGAAAAAAGTGTAAAATATTGAGATTAGGGGTAAAAAGAGGGTAAAATTCAGTTGCAAAAAAAAATACAATAAACGAAATGTAAACGGGGAATAATCTCCCACAAAAATGACAACACGTGCAAACATTGAAGGGAAAATCGCTGCCGAAATGTACGGAGAATGATGCATAACACGTGACGTACGATAAGTTAAGGAAGCGAGTGCTGGCTGACGTACGATACGTTAAGAGAACGAGTGCCGAGTGGCGTACGATACGTTAGGGGAATAGGGTCGGACGACGTGCTTTTCAGTAAAAAGGTATGCAAGGTGACGTACGATGCATAAAGGGGGATCGGGTACACGGNCGATACGTTAGGAGAATATGGTCGGATGACGTGCTTTTCAGTGGGAAGGTATGCAAGGTGACGTACGATGCATATAGGGGGATCGGGTACACGGAGTTTTGGTTGCCTGACGTACGATGTATCGGTCGAGGTTGATCTCGCCAGGAGAACAACAGTAATCGAACGTTGAAGTGTCGTACTTGGCGCGCAGTGAGAACACAGTCTCGACGGGGGGAGGTTGTGCCATTTTTGCTCTCTTCTCTTCACTTACAGGAGTTGCAGACTGTCATGGGGCACCGAAGTCAAATTAAAAAAATGGGCGACATATTTTCGAGTCGTCCGGTGAAATTTTCCTTTCGGTCGGTAGTAGGAAATGAACTGATGGTTCTAATAAAAGAAAAAACGCACTAAAGTAAACAAAAAACGATAAAGTCAAACTACATGATTAGATGAAACTACTTAGTTTTACTAAAACTATAACCATTGAACTATTACGCTGACGTTAGTTGACAAAAACAAATTTAAGGACCATTGAGTCCAGCTGCTTCTATTTATATAATCTCCAAGAATTCTTAAAATAAAAACCATAAACATTCAAAATAAATTAATGTTACCAAGCACACTAGAAAAGAGAAAAATTTATAGGACTAAAAAAATTATTGGATCACATTGTTCAAAAAATATAACTCAGTACTCACTGCAGTGAGTGACAGAGAGCGCATTTTCTCGTCGACGAAAACTTGAGGTCACGGACGGACGGATGGACAGACGGACGGACAGACAGACAGACAGATAGACAGATAGAAGGACATGGCGAGCACAATAGTGCATTTTTTCCATAAATGGGAAAATGCACTAAAAATTACATCATTTTAACCCCCAGTACTAGCAGAGCGTGTCCGTAGCACTGATACGCCGCTTTGCCGGGCCAAACTGAGTCAGGATGACCCATATTTGGGCTAAAAGTACATATATTTTTGGAAAATTACCCTCGCAATTTTGCAGAGTGTATAAATTTCAAATTATCTATTCTAACTTCATCAAAAGTTGCGTGTAACGTTACTATAGGTTTAAAATACGAGGTGAATTATCTGTAGGTGTTTTTAACCTGACTGAGAGCAACTCAATATTACTTCGTGGTAAATAGACTTTTGCTTCTAGATAAGTAATTAAAAAGATTTATAAAGCAACCATTGTTGGATAATAAAAATAAATGACTTTACCAATTTATTCATGGATCCGTGAATATTATTTTAATTCAGCAAACAGCTATCAAACACAATTCACTTAATTCTAAGATCTAGTTACTTGTCATTGAATCAATTTTAGAAGTCCAGTGTCCTAAAACTCTACGGAGTTTACTCCTGACATTCAACTATATCACGGTGTTAAATTTTTCACGGTTCAAATAACGAAAAGGAGCACTACTCTTTTCTTGAAAGTTTTAAATTTATAACAACTCATAATAAAGGCGGTCTTTGATCCTAAGGGTTACGGCAATGAGGTTTTATTTACGATGAGAAGAATCAATCTACACTTACATTTTCCAAAGGGAAAATAAAGAGAAATTGAAGAAGTTTAAATTAAATAAAATCGGGAAGAAATTCTTAATGAGCGAAACCGAAATCTTGCATAAATATAAATCAGAAATTTGATCTCAAAATTATCAACATGTTAATTAATTTCTACTACATAATCAACACAAACTAATTAACTAAATCAAACTAAAACTAAAATGAATCAGGGACATAATTGAAAACCATTTCTTTTGGGCCCAGGAACTGCTGGGTTTTTGGGACAGAAGTGCTACGATTTAGGTCCAAAATTGCTGGATATATTGTGTGCTTAGGGTATATGTTGTGTGTTGGGGTAAATGTTGCATTTTAGGGGTAAAAGTTTAGGGTAAATGTTAGGGTGAATGTTGTGTAATAAGGGTAAATGTTACGGGTAAATGTTGTATATTGAGGGTAATGTTGTGTAATAAGGGTAAGTGTTGTGGTAAATGTTTGTGCGTTTAGGGTTATTGTTAGGAGTAAATGGTGTGTGTTAAGGGATAAGTGTTGTTTGTTACGGGTAAATATTGAGTGTTAAGGGGTAATGTTAGGAGTAAATGGTGTGTGAAGGGTAAATGTTAAGGGTAAATGGTGTGTGTTAAGGGTAAATGTCCCTGAACTAAACTAACTAAATTCAGCAACTGAACTAAAATTTCATGCTTGAAGTTTGAGTTAATCCTCCAGCATCCGCCTATATTCAACATGGTTAAAAATATTCCATTAATTTATATGAACTTTCTTAGTTCATCAACTGGGGTTCGTCAATATTTCCCGAATATGTTTACTAAAAATACACTCGGAAATAAGAAATTATCATGAAGTGTTTTGAAAGTATTCCAATTCTGCGAAGCGTTCTTGATTCTCAAACGTTTCCCAGTTTCAAAAGTGTTTTCAAATATTTTCTGTGTCCCACAAAAGTGCCCCGGTCCCTCAGAAGTGTCCCGGTTCCTCAATAGTGTCCCGGTCCCTCAGAAGTGTCCCGGTCCCTCAGAAGTGTCCCGGTCCCTCAGAAGTGTCCCGGTCCCTCAGAAGTGTCCCGGTCCCATCCATGAGTGGTGGCGCAGGGCAGCGGTCATCTCGCGCGTGTCCCGCACGTTAAGCTGGGCCCGATGGACAACCTGGGACCGTCCCGCCAGTTGGTCCTCCACAAACTGACGGTGGTCAACACGCTGGCGGGTGTCCTCGTCCACCACCTGGAACCTGGTGGGCTGGAAGTCCCCTTTGTCCTTGGGGACGTAGCGGCGGCGGTTGAGACGCGCCACCGCCTCCGGAGGACGGGCCTCCCGAAATTTAGGGACTTCTTCCTCCTTCAGGAGGTGAAGTTTCTGCTCCTTTGTCGCGGAGGAAGTCTTGGTGGACGTGGAGGAGGTCTTGGTGGTGGAACTAGTAATGGAAGTGGGAGGTTCCAAAGCAAGTCCCGCGGAGGCGAACCTCTTGTCGAAGAGTTCGTCACAAAGGGCATCGCCCTCCTGAAGGAGGTTGTCCGGTTGGTAGCGGTTCGTCGTGGGTGGGAAAAATCGCGCCCTGGGCTCCTGTTGTGCGCAACCGGCGTGGAGCACCGTGGTGGAGGTGGTGGAAGTGTGATGGAAGTGTATTGGAACAGTAATGTAAATTTAGTAAAAGTTTAGTGAAGTGGAGGTGTGGTTGGTTAAAATGTAGTGTAAACCAAAGCTGGTGGAAGTACGGATGGAAGTGTGGTGGAGGCCGAAGCCAGTGCAGGTGGAATAGAGTTGGAAGGTAAATAACGTTTGCAAGCGTGCGGCAGGTGGAAGTTGGCGTAATTTGAAGTAATGTGTAGGAAAAACGAACTTGAAGTGAAATTATTTATAAATGTAGAGTCATTTTCATTGATTTTTTGTGAGGGTGGGAACGGGGAAATGTGTGAATGGTGCAAAAAAAAGCCAAACGAAACATAAATAAGAAAAAATATAGAGAAAAAAACAATTAATTGCAAATGAAAAAAAATTTGATGGCAAACCCAAGACAAAACCAAAAATAATGTGTGAGCTGAAATGAAAATAACGCATTTTTAATAAAAAAAATCATTAATTTTGCAAAAGAAAATGACTGAAAAAATCGACCAAGAAAACATGCAAAAAAAAAAGCTTCAGGGTTTTTAAGCAATATAAAAAATGTGAAGAAAATTCGCATGTATACGTACAGATTATTTTTTGCATAGAAGTTTATTTATATACTTAAATTTTTTCAAATATACAACGTGAAAAAATATGATATTTATTTAAATATGTTTCATAATAAGTATTGCTAATAAGATATATAATCCATACGGCACAAAATATTTATAATCATTTGAAAAAAAATATTCAATATCCCATCATTGCAAAATATTATTAGTTTTTTGGTCAAGAATATTCATTTGATAAATAAATTTAATAATATTACAGAAATATATAATAAATATTATTATCACTAGTGACAATTTCCCAAATAAATAATAATTTATTAATGAATTAGACCGATTGCTAAAAATCAAGTTGATTATTGACAATTAAATCGAAAATTAAAAATTGATAATAAAGTTTAGAGAAAAGTTAAGCGGGAGGTACAATTGAAAAATAAAAATATAAGACAACAAGCAAAACATTGTAATTAATGATTAAAAAATCAAATATATCATAAATTCATGCGTAGCGAAAAATAATAAAAAAACATAAACAATTTTTCTAAAAATAATAATGATTATATCAATCAATTATAAAAAGGCTTATGAGTCATCAGTTGCAAATTAATAAAAAAATAAATATGAATGAGAACTAAATAAATAACAGCCAAAAATGCAGAATAATTAATAAGCGTTGTGTTAGTCATATTATTTAATATTAAATGAACATTGATATTTAAATTATAAAATAATAATAATTAATAAGCGTTGTGTTAGCCATAATATTTATTATAAATGGAAGCTTGATATTTAAATTATAAAATAATAATCAATAAGCGTTGTGTTAGTCATATTATTTAATATTAATTGAACATTGATATTTAAATTATAAAATAATAATTAATAAGCGTTATATTAGTTGTAATATTTATTATAAATTGAAGCTTGATATTTAAATTATAAAATAATAATTAATGTGGAGAGTTGTGGCGTGGTGTGGAGAGTTGTGGCGTGGTGTGGAGAGTTGTGGCGTGGTATGGAGAGTTGTGGCATGTGTAGAATTCGTTTTTCCGGAACCGAAAAAGAGAAAAAGAAGACAACTGAAGTCATATAAATAAATAAATAGCAAATGCAAATTATTATATAATAAAATATGCTAATATAATTAGCATATAATACATATATATCCTGGCAAGCACCCAACATCATCGTTATAGTGATCATTGTTAGCGTGCTAATAAAGTTTATTAAAGTTTATTGCACTGGTTTAGAGCAATGATAAAAATGATGGTAAGAAGCTTGATGATTGCAATGAAGGAAATATTAAAAATTTTATATAAAGATTTTTGAAAAGATAAGGGAAAGTAAATTCTAAAAAAATTATGTTTTATATGAACTCTTTTTAAGTTCGATGTTTAAATGAACTTTAAACATAAGCATGATAACATTTAGATAAAGAAAACAAATTTGATGAAATGAATTGTTATCAAAAAAGAAATTATGTTTTATATGAACTCTTCGTTTGTTCAATGTTCAAATGAACTTTAAACATAAGCATGACAACATTTAGATAAAGAAAACAAATTTGATGTAATGAATTGTCATCAAAAATCGAGTTATTTAAACCTATTGATGATGAGTTTAATTGGTTTTGATGAACGGTGATAATGGAGTTCAAGATGTTCTATTCATAATAATTAATAAATAATTATTAATAATATCATTGCCTTCCATTACCAATATCATTGCCTTTTTGTATGGATTTATTTAGCATGTTTCTAAAGAAATGTGTTTTTATAAAGGCTTTTAGAATTTTTTTTTTAATCTTTATGTTTTTTGAGGTTCATAGTTTTTTAATTAATAGGTTTTAAAGAGGCTCATAGAGAGTGCTTTATAAATCAATAAGTTCCAATGGTGATTAATAATGTTCTAGTCATTATAATATTTCTATGGTATAATATAATGAACATTTTAATGTGTTGTTTAAGTGACTTACAAAGACCGTGCTATTAATCCCAATGCATGTTCTAGTAATTATAATGTTTCTATAGTATAATATAATGAACATTTTAATGTGTTGTTTAAGTGACTTATAAAGACCTGCTATTAATCCCTATGCTTGCATTGTACGACCTAAAGCTACGTACACAGTGAAAGCAGGTTGTCAACGTGCGGGCAACCTGCTCCAACCTGCCACAAGAATGAACATAGGATAATAATGTAAGTGTTCACAGTGAAAACCTGTACGAATATGCTTCTGTATTCCATGGTTTCAGGCGCCAGCCTGAGCAGGTAACCAGCACGCTGGCAACCTGCTTTCACTGTGTGCATACCCTTAGGGTACCCTTAGGGTTGATAGTACCCTAAACTTATACAACTCAGTGTGTTATATAACTTTGGGGTAACTTATACAACTCAGTGTATTATATAACTTTGGGGTAACTTATACAACTCAGTGTGTAGAAATGAGTGTCTGCAAGAGACTAACAGCCGTAGTCCTTGATGAAAGTTTTTAATGAGAAATAATAGATAAATTCAAAAATCTCATATATATACCTTGTTTTATCCGTTTTTGGAATCTATTAGGAAGAGAGATTAGAAAGATGCTTTGATATGTTATATATGATGCAGACGTCACTAGTCCAACTTTAATACAGATAGACTTGATGTGCATGTGTAAATTTTTAGTATAAGAAGTAATCCAAATAAATTTGATTTTCCTTCTTTATTTTGCCTTCATTTACAGAGTATATGTATATCATACAGCGGTGCTGAGAATGAGAGCTGATAACACACGCCTAGAGTAATATGATAATTTATATTTATATTATTTATCAATATTTTTTAATAATAATTGTTCTCACATCTTCATCAATATTTTTATTTATCAATATTTTTAATTTTATAAAGAGTTTTATCAATATTTTTATATTTTTATCCAGAGGCAATTTTATATTTAAATTTATCGGCAATATTTATGCAGAGTGATGTGCTCTTTTCACGGCGTCTGTACGCTTGACGCAGCTACTGTCTGTAAGCGTTTAGTGTGGCCACTCTGGTAGAAATAAATACATATACTGTATTATAGCAGCTTTTGCGTAGAAATACAGGAAGTGATATAGGTAGAAATAAATACATATACTGTATTATAGCAGCTTCTGCGTAGAAATACAGGTAGTGATATAGGTAGAAATAAATACTTATATAATATTGCAGCTTACGCGAGCGTCAGCCTGCGCACGCGCCAACGTTTTTAGTCTGGCCGGAGCCTTAGGTGAAGTATTTCGTATAGAAGACATTCTTTATCGTCAGCGGTGCGAAAATTATTTGTTAAATTGTAAATTATTCTCTTATTGTTCCGATATTTCCCTCTTTTTTCGAACATTTTTTAAAGTTTCGATCTTTTTTATTTTGCACGAGAAGGTGGTGAAGGGGAGGTAACCCCCACTTCCACTTTTCCCCCCTCTTCCTTGCCCACTTCTCCCTCCCGGGCAGCAGCGTGGGCGGGGCTACGGTGGGCCACGTCCCTTTCCCCCCGTCTCCTANAAGAGACAGAGGTAGATGAGAGGTAGATATGTGGTAGGTGAGAGGTAGATATGAGGTAGATGAGAGGTAGGTGAGAGGTAGATATGGGGTAGATGAGAGGTAGGTGAGAGGTAGATGAGAGGTAGATAAGTGGTAGGTGATAGGTAGATATGAGGTAGATGAGAGGTAGGTGAGAGGTAGATATGAGGTAGATCAGAGAAAGATGAGAGGTAGATATGAGGTAGATGAGAGGTAGATATGTGGTAGGTGAGAGGTAGATATGAGGTAGATGAGAGGTAGGTGAGAGGTAGATATGGGGTAGATGAGAGGTAGATGAGAGGTAGATAAGTGGTAGGTGAGAGGTAGATAAATGGTAGATGAGAGTTGGGTAAGTGGTAGGTGAGAAGTAGGTAAGTGATGGAGGAAAGGTAGATAAGTGGTAGATGAGAGGTAGATACGAGGTAAATGAGTGGTAGGTGAGAGGTAGATATGTGGTAGATAGGTGGTAGGTGAGAGGAAGATAAGTGGTTGGTGATAGGTTTGTAAGTGGTCACCCTCACCACCCCCCCATAACCCCCCCCCCACTCACTGACTCTCAGAGGCCACTGGGTCCACCTCGTAGCTGAGGTCCTTGTGGGGGACCTGGTACTCCCCCACGTCCCGGGGCAGCACCTCCCTGTCGGGGCTGTCAGGGGGCGTGTACACCTCCCCTGTGGGTGGAAGGGGGGAAAGGAAGGTAAATAGTAAATAAAAAAATTGTATAATAATTATAATTGTAATATAATTGTAATATAATGTGTAATATAATTGTAATATTATATAATTGTAATCAATAAGCACGCCCCGGAGACATAATAGCTCATGATTGTTTCTGGCCAAAAATTCGGCTTCCTCTGAGACAGCAAAATTATTAAACCTTCGCGATCCTGTAAGACTGGGCCGGAATATCAAAATTTCGAATTTTGTATGCCTACGCACAAAAAGATACGTGTTCNGGGTAGACCCTCATGCCCCACCTGGTGGGTAGACCCTCATGCCCCACCTGGTGGGTAGACCCTCATGCCCCACCTGGTGGGTAGACCCTCATGCCCCACCTGGTGGGTAGACCCTCATGCCCCACCTGGTGGGTAGACCCTCATGCCCCACCTGGTGGGTAGACCCTCATGCCCCACCTGGTGGGTAGACCCTCATGCCCCACCTGGTGGGTAGACCCTCATGCCCCACCTGGTGGGTAGACCCTCATGCCCCACCTGGTGGGTAGACCCTCATGCCCCACCTGGTGGGTAGACCCTCATGCCCCACCTGGTGGGTAGACCCTCATGCCCCACCTGGTGGGTAGACCCTCATGCCCCACCTGGTGGGTAGACCCTCATGCCCCACCTGGTGGGTAGACCCTCATGCCCCACCTGGTGGGTAGACCCTCATGCCCCACCTGGTGGGTAGACCCTCATGCCCCACCTGGTGGGTAGACCCTCATGCCCCACCTGGTGGGTAGACCCTCATGCCCCACCTGGTGGGTAGACCCTCATGCCCCACCTGGTGGGTAGACCCTCATGCCCCACCTGGTGGGTAGACCCTCATGCCCCACCTGGTGGGTAGACCCTCATGCCCCACCTGGTGGGTAGACCCTCATGCCCCACCTGGTGGGTAGACCCTCATGCCCCACCTGGTGGGTAGACCCTCATGCCCCACCTGGTGGGTAGACCCTCATGCCCCACCTGGTGGGTAGACCCTCATGCCCCACCTGGTGGGTAGACCCTCATGCCCCACCTGGTGGGTAGACCCTCATGCCCCACCTGGTGGGTAGACCCTCATGCCCCACCTGGTGGGTAGACCCTCATGCCCCACCTGGTGGGTAGACCCTCATGCCCCACCTGGTGGGTAGACCCTCATGCCCCACCTGGTGGGTAGACCCTCATGCCCCACCTGGTGGGTAGACCCTCATGCCCCACCTGGTGGGTAGACCCTCATGCCCCACCTGGTGGGTAGACCCTCATGCCCCACCTGGTGGGTAGACCATCTTGGTGGGGTGGGTGAAGGCTGAGGCGAGGGGGCGGCGCCGGTACCAGCGGCGGCAGGAGGCGTTCGCGTACCAGTCCCTGGGCGGGGGGGGGCAGTATTTCAGCACATAATCACCCTAAAATGACCCTATAATTCTCCTGTAATTACCCTCTAAACTTCCTATAATCACCCTATAATCACCATATGATCACCCTATAATCTCCTATAATCACCCCCTAATCACCCCCTAATCACCCCCTAATCACCTGAACNTGCCCCACCTGGTGGGTAGACCCTCATGCCCCACCTGGTGGGTAGACCCTCATGCCCCACCTGGTGGGTAGACCCTCATGCCCCACCTGGTGGGTAGACCCTCATGCCCCACCTGGTGGGTAGACCCTCATGCCCCACCTGGTGGGTAGACCCTCATGCCCCACCTGGTGGGTAGACCCTCATGCCCCACCTGGTGGGTAGACCCTCATGCCCCACCTGGTGGGTAGACCCTCATGCCCCACCTGGTGGGTAGACCCTCATGCCCCACCTGGTGGGTAGACCCTCATGCCCCACCTGGTGGGTAGACCCTCATGCCCCACCTGGTGGGTAGACCCTCATGCCCCACCTGGTGGGTAGACCCTCATGCCCCACCTGGTGGGTAGACCCTCATGCCCCACCTGGTGGGTAGACCCTCATGCCCCACCTGGTGGGTAGACCCTCATGCCCCACCTGGTGGGTAGACCCTCATGCCCCACCTGGTGGGTAGACCCTCATGCCCCACCTGGTGGGTAGACCCTCATGCCCCACCTGGTGGGTAGACCCTCATGCCCCACCTGGTGGGTAGACCCTCATGCCCCACCTGGTGGGTAGACCCTCATGCCCCACCTGGTGGGTAGACCCTCATGCCCCACCTGGTGGGTAGACCCTCATGCCCCACCTGGTGGGTAGACCATCTTGGTGGGGTGGGTGAAGGCTGAGGCGAGGGGGCGGCGCCGGTACCAGCGGCGGCAGGAGGCGTTCGCGTACCAGTCCCTGGGGGGCGGGGTTATATCACCACATAATCACCATATAATCACCCTAAAAATAACCTTATAATTATCCTATAATCACCCATTAATCACCCTATAATCTTCCTAGAATCACCCTAGAATCACCCTAGAATCACCCTAGAATCACCCTATAAGCATCCTATAATCACCCTATAATCACCCTATGATCACCCTATGATCACCCTATAATCACCCTATGATCACCCATAATCACCCTATAATCACCCTATAATTATCCTATATTGCCCTTTAACCACCTTATAATCTCACCACAATCACTCTACAATCACCCTCTAATCACCCCCAAATCACCTGAACTTAGCAGCATATGTACGCAAATAACCACTCATTTACCCCACCTAATCACCCCCTAATCACCCCCTAATCACCCTCTAATCACCCCCTAATCCCCTGAACTTTTCCGTGCTAATAACCACCTATTTACCCCACCTAATCACCACCTAATCACCCTCTAATCACCCCCTAATCACCCCCAAATCACCTAAACTTAGCCGCATATGTACGCAAGTTGTCCGTGTTTACCCCACATAATCACCCCCTAATCACCTCCTAATCACCTGAACTTGGCAGCATACGTACGCAGGTTGTCCGTGTTTATCACCACCCATTTACCCCACATAATCACCCCCTAATCACCCTCTAATCACCCCCTAATCACCCCCTAATCACCCCCTAATCACCTGAATTTGGCCGCATAAGTACGCAGGTTGTCCGTGTTTATCTTGTGCGGGTCCCTGGGCTGGAGGCTGCTGCGCTCCAGCCACGGGTGCGCCAGCGCCGCCTTCACCTCCAGCCGCTGCTCCGGCTGCTCCACGCAGTATATTAATTATTTATTAATCATCATTAATTATTAATATTAATTCATCATTATTAATTATTAATTAGTCATCATTAATTAATAATATTAATTCATCATCATTAATTATTTAGTATTAATTAATCATCATTAATAATTAATATTAATTATCAATTAATCAATCATTAATTATTAATATTAATTATTCATCATAAATTATTAATATTAATTAATCATCCTCTATTAGTACTACACTATAATCATCAATAACTAATAAATAACAAATTATATATAGTATTTAATAGTTACTAAACCGCATGTATGTAATTAAGACTTGTATTTGTATTTGTTAATTGAAGGATGGCGGAAATAAACGGATTTTCCGAAAAAATTGTTTGTCCGTAATTGGTTGATAATGGTACGAGATGGATGATTTTTATTAATAATAGTACAGTATTTTGTAGTATANCTCGCCTTTCTGCACCTTCGTCAGGGTCTCGCGGTCGTTCTCACCCCTGCACTCACATAAATAAATGGGTAATTCAAAATGGGTTGTTTAAATTAAATTTATGGGTTGATTATTTTATGGGTTGTCCAGAAACCTTAATTAATTTTATTAATTAATGGGCTGTCCGAAAAACAATCCTTCTAAAGTGGGAACACTGCGATAGCCATGTGCAATCAGGAAACCTAATGGTCATAGCGTCAAAAAAATGTCTGAATTATGAAGTTAACCATTAATTAGGGTTCACCTTAATGGGTTACATTGTTCAGAAATTGAAACACTTTCTATTGTGCACTAATTATGGCTGGTGAGAAGGCGAAATCGGTTATATTGTCCAGAAATTGAAACACTTTCTATTGTCCACAAGTTAAGGCTAGTGAGAAGGCGAAAATAGCCCAAGCAATAACCCACCTAACAGGAGAGGTATAACCTACCTGAAGGTTGATGTACCGGTAAGTAATAGGTAGGTGACTCATCAGGTAGCATCAACTAAAGGGGGTACCCTGACAAAATTTGCATGCTGACAGGGCTCTGCGCCAGGCGCCGCCCGGGATTTGGGAAGCAGGTAAATCAGCCGCTAATTTCAGGGTGAGCATAGCGACTCGAGGGCGGAAGCCTGGGCGTTACCCGATTTTTGTTGGGTGGGGGAGGACCACTTATGACGTTGACGTACCTAAAGGGGGAGGTACCACCTATGACGTACCTGAAGGGGGAGGTACCACCACCCATGACCCACCACCAAAAAAAAAACCGCCTGATTTTTGAAGTTAACCTTTAATTAGGGTTCACCTTTAATGGGTTACATTGTTCAGAAATTGAAACACTTTCTATTGCTCACTAATTAGGGCTCGTGAAAGGGCAAAAATAATCCCTGCAACAACCTGCCTAACAGTAGAGGTACCACCACCTATGACCCACTTGAAGGGGGAGGTACCACCACCCATGACCCACCGAAAGGGGGAGGTACCTTCTCTCCTGAAGGGGGAGGTAGCTCCACCTATGACCCACCTGAAGGGGGAGGTACCTTCTCTCCTGAAGGGGGAGGTACCTTCTCTCCTCCAGGAGATTTCTCTCCTGAAGGGGGAGGTACCTCCACCTATGAACCACCTGAAGGGGGAGGTACCTTCTCTCCTGAAGGGGGAGGTACCTCCACCTATGACCCACCTGAAGGGGGAAGTACCACCACCCATGACCCACCTGAATGGGGAGGTACCACTCAGCAGCAGGTAGGTTATCACCCCCACAGCCCACATGTCGGCGGGGTAAGACACCCCCTTCCCGAGGGCGACCTCGGGGGCCACGTACTCAGGCATTCCTGTGGGGACAGTTAAATTAAATGAATTAATTCAAATTATTTTTATCATTACTGTTATTATCAATATTATCAGTATTTGTGAAGAACAGTTAAATTTATTTAAATAATTCTAATTATTTATATCATTATTGTTATTATCAATATTATTGGTACTATTCGTGTTATTATTCATATCTTTATGTTATTTATTAATTAAAAAGGTATTGATTTATATTGTATAATGCATGACTCGCACCGTCCCCAAGCCAAAAGCTGTCTCTTATACACATCTAGATGTGTATAAGAGACAGGTATACGGGGTGGTAATACATTAGCACGATACAGAATACGGGGTGGTAATACATTAGTACGATACAGTATACGGGTGGTAATACATTAGTACGATACAGAGGTATACGGGGTGGTAATACAGAGTTGCGATACTGTCTCTTATACACATCTAGATGTGTATAAGAGACAGGTGGTAGATAGGTGGTAGGTGAGAGGAAGATAAGTGGTTGGTGATAGGTTTGTAAGTGGTCACCCTCACCACCCCCCCATAACCCCCCCCCCACTCACTGACTCTCAGAGGCCACTGGGTCCACCTCGTAGCTGAGGTCCCTGTGGGGGACCTGGTACTCCCCCACCTCCCCCATAACCCCTGNGTCCCCAAGCCAATAGACTCCCACCGTCCCCAAGCCAATAGACTCCCACCGTCCCCAAGCCTCGGGGACTCACCATACTCGAGGGGCTGGAGCTTGGCGACGCGGATGGTGCGGGCGAGGGACAGGTCACAGAGCTTGATGTCCGTCCCGTTGGGGCGCGTCAGCAAGATGTCACCGATCTGGGCAGATTATGGCAGTTTTAGGGCAACTCATGGCAGTTTTAAAGCAGGTCACGGCAGATCATGGAAGTTTTAAAGCAGGTCACGGCAGATAATGGCAGTTTTAAGGCAGGTCGCGGCAGATCGCGGCAGATCACGGCAGATCACGGCAGATCACGGCAAATCATTGCAGTTTTAAAGCATGTCGCTGCAGATCACGGTAGATCACGGCAGATCATTGCAGTTTTAAAGCAGGTCACTGCAGATCACGGCAGTTCAAGGCAATTTTAGGGCAGATCAGTGCAATTTGGCTGATTATCGAACTTTTAGGGGGTGATTTTGAAGTTTTAGTGCAGAATGCCGCTGTTTTAAGGCAGGCCGATCGCGAAAGTTTTGGGGCTGATCACGGCAGCTTTAGGACAGTTTACGGCAGTTTTATGGTATGCAGATTTTCGCAGCTTTAAGATAAGCAGATCATCGCAGTTTTAGGGCAGCGTTTAAGAGGATTCAATCAATCGAGCATTGATGCAGGTATCATTCATTCACCAGCACGGTATGAGTCGCGTATCATTTAATCACCACCCCAGATTCAGTAAAGCATCATTCAAGTACTACCAAGAGTATCATTCAAATACCTCACATGTATCATCCATGTACCCCACAAGGACCACAGGTAGTCTCTTATACACATCTAGATGTGTATAAGAGACAGCCCTACAAGTATCGCTGGTACGTATCATCCAAGCACCCTACAAGTACCATCATTGGTACGTATCATCCAAGTACCCCACAAGTACCATCACTGGTACGTATCATCCAAGTACCCTACAAGTACCATCACTGGTACGTATCATCCAAGTACCCTACAAGTACCACCACTGGTACGTATCATCCAAGTACCCCACAAGTATCATCCAAGTACCCCACAAGTATCATCCAAGTGCCCCAAAAGTACATCACTGGTACGTATCAAGCAAGTACCCTACAAGCACCATCCAAGTACCCTACAAGTATCATCCAAGTACCCTACAAGCACCATCCAAGTACCCTACAAGCACCATCTAAATACCCTTCAAGTACCACTGGTACTCACATTAAGGCCGAGGTGCGCTATGCAGCGGTCATGAAGGTACTCAAGGCCCTCGAGTACCTGCCTGATGAAGTGCGCCACCTGGTACTCAGTGAGGTACTGGTGCTGCGTGAGGGCGCTCAGGAGGTCCCCTCCCGCGCACCTGGTACGCTAGGTGGGTCAAGGAGACTACGCACCAGTGCGATGTTTGGGACCACATATAATTATAAAATAAAAGTTTATTTTGAATGTTTCAAAAATGGAAATTAATATATGCATTTTTCATAAAAGTTTGTTTTAAATGTTTCTAAGGTAGAGATTAATTGTTTATTATTGATAAAAGTTTATTTTAAAATGCTTATGTACCCATACAATGATTGTGGCCGCATATAATTTTAAGTAAAAGTTTAATATAATATGTTTCTACAGTAGATATTAATATGTTTATTGTTCATAATTTTAAGTTTATTTTGAAATGCTTACGCACCAGTGAAATCTTTGGGATCACATATAATTATGGAGGTAAAAGTTTAATTTAAAATGATTCTAAAATATAAATTAATATGTTTATTGTTTATAGGAGTTTATTTTAAAATGCTTACGCACCAGTGAAATCTTTGGGATCACATATAATTATAAAATAAAAGTTTAATTTAAAATTTCTCTAAGAGATTAATATGTTTATTATTCATAAAAGTTTATTTTAAAATGTTTCTAAGGTAGACATTAATATGTTTATTATTAATATGTCTATTTTAAAATGCTTACGCACCAGTGCAATCTTTGGGAACACATATAATTATAGATGTAAAAGTTTAATTTAAAATGTTTAAATATTTCTAAGGTAGAGATTAAATGTTTATTATTGATAAAAGCTTATTTAAAAATGCTTACGCACCACTCCAATGATTGTGGCTAAAATAATTATAGAGGTAAAAGTTTAACTTAAAATGATTCTAGAGTAGACGTTAAGATGTTTATTGTTCATAAAAGTTTATTTTGAAATGTTTCTACAGCAGACATTAATTTTTGTTTATTCTTCATAAGAGTTTATTTTAAATGTTTCTAAAGTAGAGATTAATATGTCTATTTTTAGTAACATTTCATTTTGAAATGCTTCTACAGTAGAATTTAATATTTTTATTGATCATAAAAGTTTTTAAATATGTTTCTAAAGTAGACACTAATATATTTATTGTTCATAAAAGTTTATTGTTAATGTTTTTGAAGTAGACATTAATATGTTTATTGTCCATATAAGTTTATTTTGAAATGCTTCTAAATGATACATGAATTAACATGTCCTAGAGTTCATATAGCGATGTGGCAAAAATGTAATGTATTCTAAAGTTACTTATAACATGTTTCAAAAAAATAAAACAACTCCATGACAATCACCATGTCTATTGCCTGTATAAAAACGAAGCAAAAGGATACATTAACATGTCAGGAAGTTCAAATAATAATAATAAAAATATAAATAATAAAAATAATTTAAATTTATTATTATAAATAATAAAATATAATAATAAAAATAATATTAAAAATTGCAATAGATTAACGTTTTCAAAAATTATTTCAAACATGCTTCTAAAAGATACAGCTCCATGACAAGCACCATGTTATAAATTACACATAAAAATGTTCTAAAGGATACAGCTTCACATTATAAATTAAATAAAAACATGTTCTAAAGGATACAGCACCACATTATATATTATATATAAACATGTACTAAAGGAAACAGCTCAATGTTATTGATTAAAAATAAAAATGTTCTAAAAGATACAGCTTCATGACCAGCACCACGCTATAAATTATGTATAACATGTTATAAATTAAATAAAAACATGTTCTAAAGGATACAGCTCCATGACGAGCACCATGTTATAAATTATATATAAACATGTTCTAAAGGACTAGCACCATGTTATAAATTAAACATAAACATGTTATAAAGGAGACAGCTCCATGTTATATATTAAATGTAAACATGTTCTAAAGGATACAGCTCCATGTTATAAATTATATATAAACATGCTCTAAAGGATACAGCTCCATGTTATTGATTATATATAAACATGTTCTAAAGGATACAGCTCCATGTTATTGATTATATATAAACATGTTCTAAAGAGCTCCATGTTATAAATTATATATAAACATGCTCTAAAGGATACAGCTCCATGTTATTGATTATATATAAACATGTTCTAAAGGATACAGCTCCATGTTATTGATTATATATAAACATGTTCTAAAGGATACAGCTCCATGTTATAAATTATATATAAACATGTTCTAAAGGATACAGCTCCATGACGAGCACCACATTATATATTATACATGAACATGTTCTAAAGGATACAGCACCACATCATAGATTATATATGAACATGTTCTAAAGGATACAGCTCCATGACGAGCACCATGTTCTTATGGCTCTCGTAGGCGTCGTAGAGACGACAAACATGTCGGCTCGAGTTGGCCAGGTTCATCATCTCATGTTCCATGTGCATCCAAACCTTGAACATGTCGCGTCCCCACATGCTCTTTGCAGCCATGTTGCGACCTGTATTATGTTGGGACATGTTAGGACATGTTAGAACATGTTAGAACATGTTAGAACATGTTGGGGCATGTTAGAACATGTTGGGGCATGTTGGAACATGTTGGGGCATGTTGTGACATGTTGGGGCATGTTGGGGCATGTTAGAACATGTTAGAACATGTTAGAACATGTTGGGGCATGTTAGAACATGTTGGGGCATGTTGGAACATGTTGGGGCATGTTGTGACATGTTGGGGCATGTTGGGGCATGTTAGAACATGTTAGAACATGTTAGAACATGTTGGGGCATGTTAGAACATGTTGGGGCATGTTGGGGCATGTTAGAACATGTTAGAACATGTTAGAACATGTTAGAACATGTTAGAACATGTTAGAACATGTTAGAACATGTTAGAACATGTTAGAACATGTTAGAACATGTTAGAACATGTTAGAACATGTTAGAACATGTTAGAACATGTTAGAACATGTTAGAACATGTTAGAACATGTTAGAACATGTTAGAACATGTTGGAACATGTTGGGGCATGTTGGGACATGTTGGGGCATGTTGGGGCATGTTGGGGCATGTTGGGACATGTTGGGCATGTTGGGACATGTTGGGGCATGTTGGGGCATGTTGGGGCATGTTGGGGCATGTTGGGGCATGTTGGGGCATGTTGGGACATGTTGGGGCATGTTGGGGCATGTTGGGACATGTTGGGACATGTTGGGGCATGTTGGGGCATGTTGGGGCATGTTGCGGCATGTTTATAATCATTCTATTATTTGCATTCTATTATAAATCATAAATTCCCATGTTTAGTTATATTCGTTTTATTTATTAATTTACTATTTTTGTTTTATTTTGTAGCTTGGATTAATGTACGTCAACTTCGCGTAAATTAAACGTTATTTTAACGTTATTTGCCTGCAGAGACTTGCCTTATTTGCCTGCAGAGACTTGCCTTATTTGCCTGCAGAGACTTGCCTTATTTGCCTGCAGAGACTTGCCTTATTTGCCTGCAGAGACTTGCCTTATTTGCCTGCAGAGACTTGCCTTATTTGCCTGCAGAGACTTGCCTTATTTGCCTGCAGAGACTTGCCTTATTTGCCTGCAGAGACTTGCCTTATTTGCCTGCAGAGACTTGCCTTATTTGCCTGCAGAGACTTGCCTTATTTGCCTGCAGAGACTTGCCTTATTTGCCTGCAGAGACTTGCCTTATTTGCCTGCAGAGACTTGCCTTATTTGCCTGCAGAGACTTGCCTTATTTGCCTGCAGAGACTTGCCTTATTTGCCTGCAGAGACTTGCCTTATTTGCCTGCAGAGACTTGCCTTATTTGCCTGCAGAGACTTGCCTTATTTGCCTGCAGAGACTTGCCTTATTTGCCTGCAGAGACTTGCCTTATTTGCCTGCAGAGACTTGCCTTATTTGCCTGCAGAGACTTGCCTTATTTGCCTGCAGAGACTTGCCTTATTTGCCTGCAGAGACTTGCCTTATTTGCCTGCAGAGACTTGCCTTATTTGCCTGCAGAGACTTGCCTTATTTGCCTGCAGAGACTTGCCTTATTTGCCTGCAGAGACTTGCCTTATTTGCCTGCAGAGACTTGCCTTATTTGCCTGCAGAGACTTGCCTTATTTGCCTGCAGAGACTTGCCTTATTTGCCTGCAGAGACTTGCCTTATTTGCCTGCAGAGACTTGCCTTATTTGCCTGCAGAGACTTGCCTTATTTGCCTGCAGAGACTTGCCTTATTTGCCTGCAGAGACTTGCCTTATTTGCCTGCNCCCGTAAGCGGATATCGTCTCGCCCGTAAGCGGATATCGTCTCGCCCGTAAGCGGATATCGTCTCGCCCGTAAGCGGATATCATCTCACCCGTAAGCGGATACTCTTCTGGAGAGGCACCCAGTCCTTGTACCACTGGACATCGCACGGCGGATATCCTGCTATCCTGCACATGATCCTGCCCGTCGCGTGGGAGCGGATATGGGTTTCCTCCAAGTGCTGGGTGACTCTGGGGGAACAGGGACATTTTTTTATTTTACAGCCATTGAATATATCTTTTTCTATTTTGTTTATTTATTTTATTTTATTAATGGATTATTTTCCAGGAAAAAATTCTTAAAATTTATTTCATTGTTTATTATTATTTTCTTTTCATTACTAATTTTTTTAACTAGTCACCCCAAGCCAACTCTGTCTACCACTAGGCACCCAAGTTACCCCAGTTACTCACAGTTACCTCGACTATCACTGCCCTGTCTTCCCTGCTATCACTGCCCTGTCTTCCCTGCTATCACTGCCCTGTCTTCCCTGTGATGGTGGGGACTGTGAGGGTGAGGGAGTGGGCTGGCGTCCAGCAGTAGCCCTTCGTTGTGGGGGTGAATCATCGTGGAATTCGTCGCACCCGTCGGTAGATATCGTCTCACCCGTCAGTATATATCGTTACACCCGTCAGTATATATTGTCTCACCCGTCAGCGGATATCGTCTCTCCCATCAGCGGATATTGTCTCACCCGCAAGCGGATATCGTCTCACCTGTCAGCGGATATCGTCTCACCCGTCAGCGGATATCGTCTCACCCGTCAGTATATATCGTTACACCCGTCAGCGGATATCGTCTCACCTGTCAGCGGATATCGTCTCACCCGTAAGCGGATATCGTCTCACCCGTCAGTATATATCGTTACACCCGTCAGCGGATATCGTCTCACCTGTCAGCGGATATCGTCTCACCCGTCAGCGGATATCGTCTCACCCGTCAGTATATATCGTTACACCCGTCAGCGGATATCGTCTCACCTGTCAGCGGATATCGTCTCACCCGTAAGCGGATATCGTCTCACCCGTCAGTATATATCGTTACACCCGTCAGCGGATATCGTCTCACCTGTCAGCGGATATCGTCTCACCCGTCAACGGATATCGTCTCACCCGTAAGCGAATATCGTCTCACCCGTTAGCGGATATCGTCTCACCCGTAAGCGGATATCGTCTCACCCGCAAGCGGATATCGCCTCACCCGTCAGTGGATATTGGGATATTAACTCGTCAATCAGCGGATATTGTCTCACCCGTAAGCGGATATCGTCTCACCCNTTTATCTACCAAGTTTTATCTACCAAGTTTTATCTACCAAGTTTTATCTACCAAGTTTTATCTACCAAGTTTTATCTACCAAGTTTTATCTACCAAGTTTTATCTACCAAGTTTTATCTACCAAGTTTTATCTACCAAGTTTTATCTACCAAGTTTTATCTACCAAGTTTTATCTACCAAGTTTTATCTACCAAGTTTTATCTACCAAGTTTTATCTACCAAGTTTTATCTACCAAGTTTTATCTACCAAGTTTTATCTACCAAGTTTTATCTACCAAGTTTTATCTACCAAGTTTTATCTACCAAGTTTTATCTACCAAGTTTTATCTACCAAGTTTTATCTACCAAGTTTTATCTACCAAGTTTTATCTACCAAGTTTTATCTACCAAGTTTTATCTACCAAGTTTTATCTACCAAGTTTTATCTACCAAGTTTTATCTACCAAGTTTTATCTACCAAGTTTTATCTACCAAGTTTTATCTACCAAGTTTTATCTACCAAGTTTTATCTACCAAGTTTTATCTACCAAGTTTTATCTACCAAGTTTTATCTACCAAGTTTTATCTACCAACTCCCGATTCCAACAACCAATTCTAAATACTTAATTTCTGCTGCCCAATTTCTATCAAAACAATCATATTTGTTTACCCACTTATGACCCACTTTTCCCCCACTTATGCCCCACTTTTTCCCCACTTATGACCCACTTTTCCCCACTTGTGACCCACTTTTCTCCACTTATGACCCACTTTTCCCCCACTTATGACCCACTTTACCCACTTGTGACCCACTTTTCCCCCACCTTTGACCCACTTTTCCCCACTTATGACCCATTTTACCCACTTTTCCCCCACTTATGACCCACTTATGGCCCATTTTCCCCACTTATGACCCACTTATGACCCACTTATCCCCCACGTATGACCCACTTGTCCCCCACTTATGACCCACTTGTCCCCCACATGTGACCCACTTTTTCCTCCACTTGTGACCCATTTTTCCCCCACTTATGACCCACTTTTCCCCACTTTTCCCCCACTTTTGACCCACTTGTCAATGAAAAGCAGGATCTCGCCCCCCGCGTCCTGGGTGTGGGTGAGATGTCCCCCCTTCACCCCCGTCTCGATGGGTGCCCCATTGTAGGTGAAGCTGATCTTGGGTGTTGGGTACCCGAACGCGTACCACTTCAGGCTCCCACTGAAGTTACGTTGTCCGTACTGGGTGTCCGAGGGGAGGCGTAGGAACCTGGGGGAGTGGGGGAGCTTGTTACGGGGTTGTCTTCCCCAGTATATGGTTAAAAATTCCCCAAACTTCATCATTAGTAATAAATAAATTCACCCAGAATGGCCTTCGTTCACCCATGTAATGAGTGTCCAAGGGGAGGCGAAGAAACCTGGGGGAATTCAGGAGTGGGTGGATAATTCCCCCATAGATAACAGCAGGTAACTAGTTACCTCGAGTTCCCCCATAGTTCATCCATTCCCCCATAGTTTTTTATAGACTGTCTCCCCCAATAAAAGAATTTCAAATTTTTATCATTAACACAAATGGGAAATTTCGTCTATTAATTTACTACGTATTAACGGAAACATTTTATTATGTATATCTCTTATCTGGGATATCTACATATCTGAATATCTTTTATCTATATTTCTTATATCTATATATATCTTTTATTATGTATATCTCTTATCTATTATGTATATCACAATCTCAATTCCCCACCAAATTGTGAATTTATTTTTAAAATAAAATTTTTATTTCAGGAAGATTAGCCCACGCCCAATTCCTCCCCCTAAACTGGGGCTTATTATCAATTTCTTCCATGTAGGGAAAGCCCCATTGCTCCAAATCCCCCAAAATCCCCCATCTTGAGGGAGCAAAGTAGTTCCCCCACTCCCCAATCCCCACCTTGGGGAAGCAAAGTAGTTCCCCCACTCCCCAATCCCCACCTTGGGGGAGCAAAGTAGTTCCCCCTCTCCCCAATCCCCACCTTGGGGGAGCGAAGTAGTTCCCCCACTCCCCAATCCCCACATTGGGGGAGCGAAGTAATTCCCCCGCTCCCCAATCCCCACCCTGGGGGAGCGAAGTAGTTCCCCCACTCCCCAATCCCCACCTTGGGGGAGCGAAGTAGTTCCCCCGGGCGTCCCTATCAATGGTGAAGCCGCTGGGGACGAGGGGACCGTCCCCACGCTCCTCCCCAGCGGGGAGGGACGGCAGCTGCGACACGGGCAGGATCTCCAGCTTGCTCCTGGGGAGGAATGGGGAAGGTGTAAGGGGGTGAAATTTTAACCTAAATTATTTTACCCTGAATTATTTTAACCTAAATTATTTTAACCTAAATTATTTTACCCTAAATTATTNGACAATGCATATTGTTTTCCAGTAGAATGTTCGCATTCCGACCACAACGAAGGTCAGAAAGCCATTAACGATATTGCGGCGTGTATTGTTATGAGCGCCATTATGGAGGACGAACATCTGTTAACGAATGAGGAAGATTGGCACCTGAAGTCCCGGAGCCGCGAGCTCCAACAGAAAATATTGTCTGAGCCGCGAATACCTCAGGGCGGCGAGATGTGTATAAGAGACAGGGGTCTTGGGGGCGAGGTTGGTGATGTCGACCGCCGTGCCCCTGATGCCTGGGGGGTCATTAGGTGGGTCATTAGGTGGGTCATGTGGGTCATTAGGTGGGGCATTATGTGGGTCATTAGTGGGTCATTAGGTGGGTCATTAGGTGGGTCATTAGGTGGGTCATTAGGTGGGTCATTAGGTGGGTCATAAGGCTCTTGGGGGCGAGGTTTGTGATGTCGACCGCTGTGCCCCTGATGCCTGGGGGGTCATTAGGGGGGTCATTAGGTGGGTCATTATGTGGGTCATTAAATGGGCCATTAGGTGGGTCAGAGGACAACCCACGCCCTGCACCCTTATTCAGTCTGATCACTGAAGGGATTTGGGGGTTGAATAATATAAAATATATATAATATAATAAATAATGTAAACGAATAAAATTATATACTAGATTCAGTAAATCAGCCACCGAGGCGTCAAATGTTGAAGTAACGTTAATATTTGAACGTTGTTTAATATATCAAATAATGTTGAAATTTGGACTTTCTTTAATATATAAAATAACTACTAGTAATTTATCGTGTCAATCTACAAGCAATTCAACGGGCCACTCCCCAGAACGGGCCACTCACCGGGACATTTAACGGGCCACTCCCCAAGACGGGCCATTTAACGGGCCACTCACCAGAACGGGCCGTGAACCAGTCGCCCTCGGGGCTCTCGCACATCTCCACTTGGTACGTGACGGGCGGCTGAGGTCCCTGCGCGATGTACGGGTTCCACGAGACCGTCACCCGTCGGTCCGACAGAGCGCTGATATAGGGACGGTCTGGTAACGGGACCGGTATTCCGGTCCTCTTCATCTTGTCCCAGCCCTGATACTCGTCGCCAACGGGCCGACGGGCCTTCTTCGATATACCTGGTGAAAACGGGCCAACTTTATGCTAGAGAAACGGGCCAGTGAACGGGCCAAGTCTGGCTAACGGGCCAGAAGACCAAAGAATACTTTTATAATACTTACAAGCATTTTCATAAGACTTAAGAATATTATATTTATATAATAATAATATTATTATTATATTACGTTATTTATGATATCACCCACAGTAATTATTATGTAATCAGAAGCAAATAATGAATATAATAAATTACTTAATAGAATAATACTTGTTACATACAGTTTGTAGAGTAATATAGAGTCAATAAGAAAGTATTAGAAAGTATTAGCAAGCACTAGAATGTATTAGAAAGCATATCTCACATTCACAGACGAGCTTGCCCATGGACGCGGCCTGGCCGTAGTCGTTCCAGACCTTCAGAGTGTAGGACCCCGCGTCCTCCTCCCGCACGTGCCGGATGGTTAGGCGCAGGATACCGTCTACGTCACGCTCAGACACCACGCGGTTGCTGCAACGTAATGGGCAATGGTAATGGGGTAATGGGGTAATAGGGGGAAAATATCATATTGGTACGCCATGAGGCTTGTTGGGGAATGGGATAATGGGTTAAGAGTGTAGGACCCCGCGTCCTCCTCCCGCACGTGACGGATGGTCAGACGCAGGATACCGTCTACGTCACGCTCAGACACCACGCGGTTACTGCCGGGTAATGGGCAATGGTAATGGGGTAATGGGGTAATGGTAATGAGGTAATGTGGTAATGGTAATTGAGTAATGGTAATTGGGTAATGGTAATGGGGTAATGGGGGGAAAATGCCATATTGGTACGCCATGAGGCTTGTTAGGTAATGGTAATGGGATAATGGGGTAATGGGGAAATAGGGTAAGGGGGGTAATGGTAATGGTAATGGGGTAATGGGGGAGATACCATATTGGTACGCTATGAGGCTTGTTAGGTAATGGGGTAATGGGTTAATGGGGTAGTGGGGTAANAGCTGACTGTCTGATTCGGGGACCGGAATGTGGACCGAAAAGCGGACATAGAGAAGCTGACTGTCTGATTCGGGGACCGGAATGTGGACCGAAAAGCGGACATAGACAAGCTGATTTACGTTCGCGGGGACCGGAAGGCGGACCGAAAAGCGGACATAGACAAGCTGATTTACGTTCGGTCTGAGTCCTAGGCGGTTCCTAATTCAGGGTTGCCACCAACTCAAAATTTTTATAAGGATGTTCATGTTAATCACCCTAGAGCTACATGATAGCGGGCGTTCCATGTTCATGTTAATCAATGCTCCTGCGAAACTATGCGATCTCTCGCTTATCACTCAATAATACTGCTGCCAGCTCTGGATTCCGTTCACACTAGGCGCAATACGGCAACTGGAAGGAGTCCAACGAACCTTTACTTCCAGGATCAGAGGGATGGAGGAGTTTAACTACTGGGAGAGGTTACAGCGACTGGGTCTGTACTCACTGCAGAGGAGACGGGAGAGGTATGTCATTCTGTACACATGGAAAATGATAACCGGAATGGTGCCAAACTTCGAGAGCGAGACCTTCAGGATTCAGACATATCA